TTTCGTTTAGAAATTTTAAAGCTTAGATTTTTTATAATTTGCGGATTTAAGAAATTAGATTTCCAGTAATTTGGGACCTTGTAAATTTGAATCTCTAGTAATTTGGAAATTTGAAAATTTAGATTTCTTGTAATTGGGGAATTTAAAAGATTAGATTTCTGATAATTTGGGAATTTAAGATATTAAATCTCCAGTAACTTGAGAATTTGAGAATTTAAATCTCTAGTAACTTGGAAATTTGAAAGTTTAGATTTCTTGTAATTGGGGAATTTGAAAGATTAGATTTCTGCTAATTTGGGAATTTAAGAAATTAGATCTCCAGTAATTTGGGAATTTGAAAATTTAAATCTCTAGTGATTTGGGAGTTTGGGAGCTTAGGTTGCTGGTAATTTAGGGATTTCGAAAGGTTAGATTTCTGATAATTTGAGAATTTAAGAAATTAAATCTCCAGTAATTTGGGACCTTGAAACTTTAAATCTCTAGTAATTTGAATATTCGAAAACTTAAACTTGTAATTAAGGAATTTAAAAGCTTACATTTCAAACAATTTAAGAACTCATAACTTAAAAAATTAAAACACCAAAAAGTCCAAAAATGTGAAAAAAGAATCCAAAGACAAACAACCCCTCCTTACATAAAAATCTGAAAATGTCAACCCGTGAAAGTCCACATACAGCAACAAGCGTCTACACGTTATATAAAATCCATTTAACTCGTTAACCGACGAGAATCACCAGTGATTTCCACGGCAAATAACTAAAACGAGAAGTTAATAATACGTTAATAGCGTAAGATATCAAATTGCGAAATTAAACAATGATATCTTAAGTAAACGGTATGATAATATACCGTACATTTTCAGCACGACATTCGACGTGTTAACGCGTCAGAGTGATTAAAAATAGCAATCTCTAATAAATTATAGGAAACGAAGACAAGTTGTCCTCGGAGACAACTGCGAGCACGTGCAACGAAATAAATGAGGAAGTCGGCCCGTACGAAGTCTTCTGGAACGATTGTGATTCGCGATAGTTCACAGAAAGTTTGAAACGAACGCGCGCGCGTGATGTCGTCCATTTAACGATTATTTGGTACAGGATGTCCGTCAATGTCTCTTAATATTTAGTCGTTTTCTGGGACGATATTAAGCCACGACACGCCTCCCTCACAATTATGTCGTTCAGACTTCAGGGTCTAACTGCTTGAGGCAATGGAAACTTTTCCGAATATTTTCAAATCACGTTTGCAATGTTCTCAAGACAGATTTCGCGTATTATTTCATTTGCTTATTCAAATCTACGTATTTGTACATTGTTCAAACTTATGGTTTTATTTAGTCTTCGTCACGCATATCATTTTACTTTTGTTACATAAGTACTTGCTATTTAATTAATTTTCGCGTTTCTTACGTTATTCAAATATTACATTTAATTTATATATTGTTAAATATAACAATTTATAATTGTTGTTATGAATATACCTGATTTTGACGTATAATCTTAATTATCTAATAAGTAAATACTTTACGAGTCGAGTACATGACTTTAGTTACGGTTTTTATTAATTTTACACGTAATTTTATTAATAGTGTGCTGTGGTATTAATAATGTTATTGTCAACGACATTCTTTCAGCCAACACAGATTTGACTTATTTTAACGAATTAAAGGCTTTTAATGACCACTGAACTATAACGTCTGTATAATGAAATTATTTGTACGGAATAATGCTGTAAATTAACGGCTAAAATATTTGAGATACAAGTTTATTTGGTATCAAAATGTAATGGGGGTGACATTTTCTTTATCATTGAAATACCAATTTCAGAAAACTACCCTTCAACGACCGTGTGGCCTAACGGATAAGGCGTCGGACTTCGGATCCGAAGATTGCAGGTTCGAGTCCTGTCACGGTCGAAAAATTACTTTTTGTTTTTTTTTTTACTTTCTCCTATTTCCACATTTTTCGTAATAATAACTATTCATCTCTACATTTTATTTATTCTTATAAAATATATCATCCCTTAGAATTTTTAAATTATAACAAAATCAAAAGGGAAAATTTATTTATCTATTATCAAACACTAAATTATTATTACAGTAAAATTTATTATAAATAATGAAATTACATTTATCATATGCAATTTTTTGTCAAACTTCAGTTACTACCCTAAAATCCAGAATAAAAAGTAAAAAGTAAAAGAATAGGAAACAGTTTATTTATGGTTTTAAAAATAATTTACTAGCATTCTCCGTTTCTATAAACTCAGTTTTTAATCCATAAAAATTATTTAATGTTATTAAGAGTTCATTCAGTCAAAGGTTGCAAGAAAACTGTGCGCAAAACTGAGCGTTACGTTGGTGAGTAAACATCGGACATAATAGAATTGTGGGAATAAGCAACAATTAAATTGATCATAGCGTGCTTTGTTTATGTGTTAAACAGGTGCAGTCATCTGTGAATCAAGGCTGCTTCCTACCCAGTTCTGAAATTTTTCCTCGCTTCCAGTGATTCATTTGAATTTCAAAAATCAGTTTCGTTATCGATCAAACCCCTCTAATTCTAGTAATAATAACGCGAGTGTACAAACATGTGTGACCAACAAAAACAAAATGTCTTTCTAAGTGAAATTCGGAGATTTAAATAATCTTTGATGAAATTTGAGAATTCATATTTTTTAATGAAGATTGAGGATTCAAATTTTTTGTGGTGAGCTTCTGGAATTTTTTTTTGATTCACTTTGAGAGAGTTCACACTTTTATTTAATGAAATCTGAAGATTCGTATTTTTTTAATAGAGATGGAGGATCCAAATTTTCTTTTTAACAAAGATTGAAGGTTCCTATATTTTCAAGGAAGTTTAAGAATTCACATTATTTTATTGAACTCTGAGGATTTATATTTTTCAATGAATATTGGGTATTCATATTTTGTTTCACTTTGAAGGCTCAAACTTTTATCTTATAAAGTATGAAGATTCATATATTTTTAATCAAATCTGCACTACAATTTTCTTTTCAACAAGGCCTAATGATTTTATATAATTTTTAATAATTTGCTTTCAACTTAAAAATTGTTTACAATTTTTTTTTTAATTTCGTGCCTTTTTTTAATTCCATTTGAGGATTCAAACTTGTGTTCAATGAAATCTACATATCCATATTTTCTTCTTAATAAAATTCGACGATTTTCTTTTTAAGGAAAGTTGCAGAATTGTACAGTTTCTAAAAAAATTGAGAGTTCATACTTTTTTAACAAAGCTCGGAGATTCAATTTTAAGTTCCTTGTTACAGCAACGTAACAATAACCTTGTTACCTTAAGAATAAAGGTACCCTATGTAGATGCTGATCACGTCCCACTTTACAAATCGCTTTGCAAACAGACTCAATTATCATCGCCATCATTGGAAAGTCTCGAAATCGTTTCCTTTCAAAACGTTACGACCCACGCCCATTATCAATACAATTACAAATTGGCCCTACTTAACCTCGGGATATTGATTTGAAACACGTGGTCGAGTTACGTTTCAATGGAGAAAACAAACGCATCCCTCTTGAATCCTCGTTTCCTTCAATGCAATTCGATCCAGGACCAACCATAAAAGGGGTGAAATGTCACATCACTCATATACACAGGAACCAGGATGAAAAGAATAAATGTATTAATCTTTAATTAACGAGTATTTCATTGATCATATCTTTCTTTGTGAGCGATGTTTCTTTTCAGTCAAAATTAAAGTACTTTCTGTTTGAGTTCAAGTTCTTTGAGTTTGACTTCCTTTAAAATTGACCTCGTCAATTATTTAGAATTTTGTAAAATAAATATTTAATTATTTGTTCAATGTTAGGATGTTGTATCTACAACGTAATGTCACATTTCAAACGTAATAGGGAAGTTATATTTTTAATATAATGAGGAATGTTATATGTCAACATAATGATGCAGAAATGTCTTACCTACAATATAATGCACCACAAATATTATATTTTCAGCAATGTTATATTTCAATAATATTAGAGGAATATTTCGAACATAATACTGTAATGTCACATTTTACGTATGCGGCTGAAGAAATAACAGATTTCAAGCGTGATAAGTAATTTCAAGAAAGTGTCATATCATCAGAGTAATATGACAGAAATATCACAGAAATATATGCATAAAAAGAATGTCATATTTCTAACATAATATAATATGAATATCGAATATTATATAAAACGTTTCTAGCATGGCAGGAATGTGTCAACATAATAATATAAAAAATACCAACTTTCCAACGTAACAGTATACACCAAAATTTTGAGAAAAATTCCTTCATAAATAACAGCTTAATTTACTTCAATAAATAACGAGTTATTTACTAAACTAACACATCGAACCAGATATCAGTGTGAATTCTTGCGACATGAAATTGACATGAAATACGACATGACACACCAGTGATTGTAAAAATGAGAAAAAAAATTAACACGTTGACTGCCGCGCGCATTTTACATGGTTTGCTCATGGCGCCAACTTGAATTTTTTACTATGCGATTTCATATCATGTTGAAACATTATTTACATTATTATTTACATTATTTACAGCAGATAATGTAAATTGTATAATCATGTTTAATGCATTTTTCGTGTTGGAAGTTATCAAACCATTATAGTAACAATGGTATTACTTAAAATTTGATCAGTATCTATTTACTCCATTTATATATTTTTACTATTAGTCGCGTCGCCGCGCCGGTCATCGGTGACCTCCACGGCAGTCAACTTGTTAATTACCGATTCCATTACTAATTTTATATAAGAATTTACATTCCGGTTTTGTTGCATTCAGAGCAATGAATCGACAGTAACGGAGATGAAAGATTTTCTTCGCACGTTCTAATTCAAATTCTCTTCCTTTATTTTTATTCACTTTCATTCGCTACCTTGACGTATTTTTTTGCGAAAAAAAGAAGCTTTTTCCGCTTATGTAACGGCGTATTTTTGCATGATTCGTTTCAGCTCACAAGTGAGCGCAAAACCTAGCCCCGCCGACGAGCAGCAGCAGATCAGCGCAGATTCAGCAGGAAGACTTCGCCGAGATCCAGCAATCCGCAAGAACAAGATCAATCTAATATCGATTGAAGTCCATCGTCGAGCACGAAGATTTCTCATCTAACTCTATCAACAAGCCAGATTCACCCAACTGCGCCGACATCGTAGAATGGTAGAGAGTGAACCCAACTCAAAGCACAATCATAGTACGTATCAATTTCTGGGAGGAAAACATGAAATAATAGTAACATTACGGGAACACCATATTAAGCAATGAAATATTCATAATAAGTGTAATGTCATTCCTTAAAGAATGTCATATTCATCATACCATATTTTCAACGTAATATTACAGAAATATCATACATATTTAATATCTGAAAGTTGAGATAGAGCTCTATTAACCAATCACTAACTCTCAAAGTATTTTATAATAATTTCTTTTTTCCAAAAATGCAGAGTGTGATGTAAAAGACGAGCGGCTAAACGGCTGTGGCTCAAAGGATCTCGAACTTGCCCGTAAGTATCAATCCACTCTTCCGTTCGTAATTTCTTACGAATCCTCTGAAACAATTTTCTGTAACAGGTATCGGAACAAAGGGCAAGACCCTAGATCCAGAGAAAGGATCGTTCGTTAAAGCAGACTTCGAGAAGGCCATTGAACTTACCGGTAATTACTGTTAATGTTGCTATAGTTTACATTCGTATAACCTTGTACATTATAACTTTTTTTTATCGCAGACTATGGCAAGTTTCACTACTTCCTCCTCACGGTATGCGGCTTCGTCAGCACCAGCGAGGAGATGGACGTAATCTCTATGTCCTTCATCCTCCCAAGTGCACAATGTGACTTGAAGCTCGATACCCAAGCCAAGGGATGGCTCAACTCGATCATCTTCATCGGTATGATGGCGGGGGCGTACGCCTGGGGCTCCGTCGCGGATGCCTTGGGTCGTCGTAAGGTTCTGATCGCCATTTCCTTCACGAACGCCCTTTGCATCGTAGCGTCCAGCTTCAGCCAGTCCTATGAACTCTTCATGTTCTTTCGTTTCCTCAACGGCGCTGCGTAAGTATATTTACACGCAATGTTCAAATTCTCTCTATTCTGTGTTCACGTGAGGTCATTTTTAGCCTTGGAGGCAGTGGCCCGGTCATCTGGTCCTACTTCGCAGAGTTCCAGCCAAAATCTAAGCGAGGCTCGATGCTGTCCTTCATGGCTGCCTTCTGGACGCTTGGAAATCTTTTCGTTGCTGGTAAGTAACGTTGTATACTTGTTGTGTACCCGTTGTCGATTAATCAGATAATAATTTTGCGAAACAATTTCAGGTTTAGCATGGTCAATCATCCCTAATGACATCGGTATCACGAGTGTAGCGTTCACTTATAATTCCTGGCGAATCTTCCTGCTGATCTGCGCTGTTCCATCGTTCATCGTCGCGGGGCTGCTACTGCTGCTCCCTGAATCCCCCAAATACCTCTTGTCTTGCGGAAGATACGAGGAGGCACTCGATATTTTCCGCGGGATTTATGCCATTAACACTGGTAAACCTCGTGACAGTTACACGGTAAGTATCCAATCGTGTGAACATAAAAGTCTGAACCAGATGTGAAGATCTGAATAAACTGTGCAGGTCAAAGAATTGATTTTGGATGACTTCCGTGAACCGGAACAACCAACAAAAAATGGCATCGAGAAGAACAAATGCAAAACAATGCTCAGCGATATTGTAGACAATAGTAAACAACTGTTCATTTCACCGATACTTCGCTTCACCATTATCTCCATCATCATCAACTTCACCTTTCACATCGGTTATTATGGTCTCATGATGTGGTTCCCCGAACTGTTCAATCGTTTTGACGAGTTTCATCGCGATCATCCTGGTGAGGTCGCCTCCATATGTCAGGTGACCGATTACGTCGTTCAAAAGGGTTCTTACAACGTCGAGAATCTTTGTTCGGACAAGATTGGTGCCTCCGTTTTCATGGAATCGCTGATTACTGTGGCGTCCGCCATCCCAGCGAATATCATCGCCGTTTTGGGAATGGACCGTCTGGGTCGTAAATTCTTCCTTGGTAAGTGACAATTATTCTCTTTTCAATTGTTCACAAAGTTATGTTCTATTTGTTTGCAGTGTTTAGTACATTGTCGTCAGGACTGTGTTCGATAGGATTGTACTTTGTGTACAACAAGCAGCACAACCTCATCGTTTCAGCATTCTTCAGCGGTGTGATAAGCTGTGGTAACGCAGCCTTAGACTGTCTCATAACAGAAGTTTTCCCAACACACCTGCGTGCTACAGGAATTGCAATTTCCATGGTGGCAGCGCGTCTTGGTGGAATTATTGGAAACATAGTGATAGCTCAACTTCTGGATATGTACTGCCCTGCACCAACTTTCATCGTTGCTGCTCTCCTGATTGGTTGGTAGAAGTATCTTTTGATCATGGTCACTTTGTTTTATCTTCGTTATATTGAATTTGCTTTCGTTTTTCAGGTGGAGGATTATTGTGCTTATTTTTACCAAACACAACACGTGAACCACTTTCTTGATACCAGTGGAGAATTACATCAGGGCTGACTAATCAATGTGCAATCACACATGCATTCAAGTTGACAAACTTGCAAAGTCTTAAAGCAACACATTACACATCCATGCGTTTCTGCTCACATTCAGTTCATAAACAATCCATTGTAAACAGCCTATCAATTGAGCTCCACATTCCTATTTTACATATCAAGTTCAAATGGCAATAAAGTAGTATTAGCGATTAGAACGTGTAGTACATAGTAGAGTATATTTTGGAGAGTACATATATAATACGAATGTGAATTCGTATGACACTTTCTTTATAAGAAGACAAAGATTTCACATAATTTCTATGTATTTTCACGTATTAATATTCAATAGAACATTACGTCCTGAATATGTGTAGATTTTGTACACTGACATTAAATGTTAAATGTAGATGTGTATTCCATTATATTTACAATATTTTGCCATGTACTTTTGTACCTTTGTTCATATTTTAAGTACAGCCATCAATGTTATATGTTGTGTACCCTCGTATATTTGTAATATAAAATGTAACAATTGCAAGGCATTTGAAATGTAACAACGAAAAACAGTAAAGTTTTAATGAGAAATACGTTGTAAATTTTCCATTTTTAATGCACCCCATAAAATATCATGATATTCCAAATTTAAACTTGTACCACAAATCCTTATTTCAATCTGAAACTTACCTTGAAGTTCCTTAATATCTATTACAAAACGTATACATTGTTTTGGATAAGGATAAAAATGAAATAGAAAAATTAGAGAACAGTGTAATTTTCATTTTTCACAGTACATTCAATGTCATAAAATTATTCTCTCATCATTTTCTCCTTTTGCCTAGCAAGTTTCTTTTTACTGAGTTTCTTTTTTGAAGGCTCCTCTTCTGGACTCTTTATTACAAAATCTTCCTTTTCGGTCAAAATTACTTCGATGTGACACGGTGAGCTCATATAAGCTGCAACATAAAAAGTTAATTAAACCACTATTCAAACCGTTATTTCAAATAATAAGAATTGTAGATACTAACGATTGATGCGACCATGAGCTCTGTATGTTCTTCTGCGTAAACAAGGAGCATGGTTTACTTGAATGTGATTAATTACAAGGCGGTCAATATCTAATCCCCTAACATCAGCATTACTCTCAGCATTTTTCAAGAGCTGTAGTAAAAACTCCGCCGACTTTTTAGGCCAACGACCTGAATTCAAACATAACAACCTTATCAGCAACAGATAATTAAATACACTTGAATTACATTACTAAAGATTAACTGAAATATACCTTGTGTGGTACCAAATTGTTTTGCTTGAGCACATCTGCCAACACCACCATTAAATCTACGGAATGGTACACACTCCTTGTGTTCAATTACATTCTTCAAGTATCTCTGTGCCCTCCGCAAGGGCATATTCTTAATAGCTCGTGCTGTTTCATGAGTGTTCTGCAATGCAAAGTATATGAACAACGCTTAAAAAAAAAGCTTAAAATGATCTATCACGTTTAGAAAAGCTTAATGTGATCTAACATTATTGAAGAATTATATTAACTTCATAAAATCATCACAATAGATATTGTAAACACATCACTCATATGTTTGAGGTTAATGTGCAGATATAGAATAATTATTTTATTTACCTTGAAGTGCACTCGCAAATTCGAGCCTCGCGCTTTGCACGATTTGGTCGCATTCACCGGTTCATGCGAATAACGTCCCATTGCGTTCTGCAATTATAAAAATGTGGTAACAATTTTTGGTAGCACTCTGGCATCTCGTTAACGTAGGTGTCGCGGCTTAACCTGCCGTCACGCGAATTTGAAATTCAATAATCATCGTTTACTAAACATTTACTACACACTTTTTGAATGAAATAACAGTTTGGAATCACATGTTTAAGGATCACATAACGTCAAGCCAATTATTTACGTAAAACTGAAGATGCAAATAGATTCATAAATTGCTGTGGGTCAAGCCATACATACCTCTCAACAGCACGATTTGAAAGGAAAAGACGTCACGTGTGCAACTAGAAAGAGACTTCCTGTAAAATGCTAGCTACCAACATAAAAATTTCTAGGGAATATAAAAGTATTTATCTGTTTGCATATTCCTTTATACGAAAGAACAAGAATTATTTTTGTACGAGTATTTAATTATTTTATTATTGTAGTACTCTACCATTTTATCATTCTAGTATTCTACTAATTTGACACTTCCACCATTTTATTATTTTACTATACAACTATATACTACTATTTTACTATACTATATTCCATAAAGGATTGTACTAACTCCATTACAATTTATTTCTACCTTCGTGATCATATACGTGGTGTAAAATAACAAATTAACAACGGAAACCTGTGATACAGTAAATGTACAAATAGGAGGACAGGTATACTTATTTCTTAAACATATCCACAAAATATATTAATATAAAAAAAAAGTATTTTAATTGATTTGCGAAATATACTACAATAAATAATAATTAAAAATCATGATACTTTCTACCTACTGAGTATATACTTTCATCGAAATAATCGTCACAAATGCGCATGCGATTGTCATATATTATAGAGTATATAGAACTACATTTTTCTTACGAGATATACTATACATTTTCCTAATTTATTATCTTTATCGATCACTGATTAATTATTTCTATTGAAATACCACTAATCCGAATTCTATAATATCAATTTATTATATTTTACAATAAAATAATAGAACAAATAAAATACATGTATTTAGAAATTTCTTTCTAGGAACATTTAACCATTGTGCGTAAGTTTGTCGTTGTCCCGGGAAGATTTGTATAACCTCATCTTATTTGCAGAATATTTGCAAAAAAAGATGCATATAGGTGCTATTTAATGATCATCATTATCAAATGAATGATCTTTTAAAACAAGTTGCACAATTTTGAACGATTTACCGAACGGTAGATTCCAGTGAGAAATTTGACAGTTCGAAGCTTGACAGTTCCGCTCCAACAACATTCTGACTTGAAGCCACCCTTCCCTTCATTTTTTAACAAAATTCACAACAAAAATGATTTCGATAGCGGTACCTGTAGCATGATTTAAACAAATATAAATAAGAAAACCTAATATTTTCGACTGAATAAATTCTCAGTTGATTAAAAAGGTGTATCCAATTTTTGCAAGCGTCGATAAGTGAGATAATAGTGTATTAGTAGTGATTGTTTAATTCCATATACCAAATGTCAAAAAACAAATTGAATTTAACGCTACCACCTGGCTCGATAGAACCAGTACCAGCTGTATCACCATCACCACCAGTTCCACCGTTGCCCATTTATTCAGAACCACCAGTAATTCCAGAGTAATTAATTTTTATTATATCATGAATTATATTTATTTGGATTGGCTTTTTAATTTGACTTATTTTGATTGCAGCGGAGTTATGGGAAAAATGAGCATAGATGCTATTCAAGAAAGGTTGGAGGAATTAGAAATGGATGAAGAACAAAGAAAAAGACTGGAGAGCTTTTTGGGCCAAAAAGAAAAGGTTGGAGAATTGTGTGATGAGGACTTTGAAAAACTAGGTGAACTTGGTGCTGGTAATGGTGGTGTTGTTATGAAAGTGAGACACAAAAAGTATGGACTTATAATGGCAAGAAAGGTGTGGTAGTATTTATTACATTTATTTACTTCTACTCTACAATTGAACTAAAAATAATGTTTATAACATTCCAGCTAATACATTTAGAAGTTAAACCTGCTATAAAGAAGCAGATAATTAGAGAACTAAAAGTTCTTCATGAATGTAATTTTGCGCATATAGTTGGATTCTATGGTGCTTTCTATAGGTAATTAAACTTACTGGACTATAATCTTGTTTTATATCTAACATGTACTATTTCGCTTACTACAGTGATGGTGAAATTAGTATATGCATGGAATATATGGATGGTGGATCATTAGATTTAATACTGAAAAAAGCTGGAAGAATTCCAGAACCCATATTAAGCACAATTACTTCTGCTGTAAGTATAAAACAACTTGATATTCTTTCATATTTGAAAGAATATACCTTATATACTTATGATTATAAATATCAACTTATTATTAATTATTATAAATAATAGTATTATAAGCTAAGTCTGATATATTTAGTAATAAGTTTCACGTGCCATCATTCCACGTGGATATTTACGGATGCACCATCTTCTAAATTCATCATACGCCCAGAGAAATGCACCAAGTGGTAAACTAGGCCAATACCAATAGGCACTTAATGGCATAAATTTTAATATTTTTCCTATTCCTGGCACATACAAGAGAAATCCAGTTAAAATGATTTCAAAAATCAAAGAAAAATTCAAAAACCAGTTATCCATTCCTTGTTCTAAGATTGAATTAACTCTAGTTTTGCACATTATTAAATCTATGAGTTGAGTTATAACAATAGATAAGAAATATCCGGTACGAGCTTCGTTCAGTAAATCCATCCTTGTATCATAAGTCCATGTTTGCCCATATGAATCTTGCAAATCATTAATGGATTTGTTTTCCCAATCTAATCTTAATCCTAACAAGCGATCAGGTAGAAATCCATTTAACATAAGAATCATAAAATAAGTGTAGAATCCGGCTAAGGACTGAGTCATTCCGATCTGACCATAAGCAACGGATATCAAACGCCTGTTTACGAGCTTATCGTATTGCGGATTCCTGGGTGCACGCTGCATTATGTCAGATTCGGCTTTCTCATAGGCTAGCGCTATTGCTGGAAGTAAATCTGTCCCTACATCTATACAAAGAATCATCTCAAGGATGAGGGGTAAAGGAATAGCAAATATTAAACTACTTAACATAGGTATCATCTCGGGCACGCTAGAAGTTAAAGTATAAAGTATCGATTTTTTAAGATTGTCAAATATCAGTCTACCTTCTTCAATTCCAGTTACAATAGATGCAAAATTATCATCCATAAGAATCATGTCGGCTGCGTTTTTCGCCACGTCGGAGCCAGTTATGCCCATAGCCACACCGATGTCCGCTTTCCTCAATGCTGGTGAATCATTGACTCCATCACCAGTTACTGCGACAATCTCCCCTAGTCGTTGACAACTTTCTACGATGAGTAATTTCTGTTGTGGAGATGTTCTCGCGAAAACTATTTCCTGATAGTTTCGTATAACGCGATCCAATTCTTTTGTGTCCATGTTTCTCAGTTCAGAACCAGTAATGATTATGGCGTCGCTGTCATCATCAGTTATTTGAGTGTATGATTTATTTTGTAATATTGCTCGTTCGTATTTAGTTTCATGACCTTCGCCTATGATGCCCACCTTTTTTGCTATTGCCATTGCTGTCACTGGATGATCACCTGTTACCATTATTACTTTGATACCAGCTGTACGACACTTTTTGACAGCATCGGGCACAGCTGGTCTCGGAGGATCAAGGAGACTAATTAGTCCAACGAACCTGTAACCCTTTGTTGGGAAGTTGTATGTACTTGCAGAGTCAGTATTGAACTTGAAGTCTACACCATATTTACTGGCAGGCAAATGAAGATCACAATAAGCTAATACACGTTCACCGATATATCCTAACTCTGCACAGGCTCTTCGAGAAATTGTCAGATCCAGTGGAGTCACCTCTTTTGTTTCTCCATCAGAATTTAATATATGGGAGCATTTTTCCAGGATTATTTCTGGTGCACCTTTCAAAATCATTGTATATCCATCTTCATCCTGATGAATGGACATTTGGTACTTGGTTACAGAGTTGAATGGTATTTCTGCAACCTTTGGGTGGGCTTCTCTGAACTTCTCTGTAGAGTGTATATGTTCACAGAATCTGAGGATACCTGTTTCAGATGCGTCACCGAGTATCTCTCGTTCTTCTATCGGGCTCACTAAGATGAATTCCGTAACAAATTCTGCGCGTAAACAAAGAGTAGCGTTTTTGATCATTATGTTAAAAGCTGGTTTATCCAATAGTAGATGCTTCTCAATGCCTAATATTTGGCCTGGCGGAAAATGGTACCTTGTGTGTCCGAACCATAAATTAGACACACTCATTTTGTTTTGTGTCAGAGTTCCAGTTTTATCTGAACAAATGGTTGAGGTAGATCCAAGTGTTTCAACAGCTTCCAGGTTTTTAACTAAGCAATTCTTTTCTGCCATTTTTTGTGCCGTTAGTGTTAAACTTGTGGTAACGGTGACAAGCAAGACTTCAGGAACATTGGCTATCACTATACCTAGCATATAAGTAAATGCTTTGAGGATATTGGGCTCAATTATCAATGATAATACAAAAAATAGCGTTCCAAATAGTACAGCTACAGTGGTGATTATTTGAACAAAGTGTCCGATTTCTTTAGCAATTGGTGTATCCTCTTTTTCAAGCTGAGATGTAAGACCAGCGAGTCGTCCTATCATTGTGTTATCACCGGTGGCTATCACTATGCCGTATCCTTCTCCATCCACGGCAAAAGATGAGAAAAAGGCGACATTAGATGATTCTAAGGGATTTTCGTCTGTAGGATAATTTGTTCGAACTACAGGTTCACTTTCACCGGTAATGCTTGAGTTTTCAACTCTAAGCTCCTGACATTTTATGATCCTGATATCAGCTGGTATTTTATCACCGAATTTAATATGTACTAGATCCCCTGGGACTAACTCCTCAGTTGCTATACGTTGTTTAACACCACCTCTTATTACTGTTGCAAAAGTAGGTACCATTTTTTTAAATGACTCCATCACCTGTGAAGTTACAAGAGGAAAAGTATGCTTGAGATTCAATTTGAATTTATAAGTCTGAGAATAATACTTACTTTTGTATTTTTACTTTCTTGTACATATGCACATATTCCTGAGAGTAAACAAATCAGTATAATGATAACTCCCAACCATTCAATGCCACCACCTGTACCTTCAAGTAGCATACTGAGTCCGTACAAAATGAGGCATAAAAATGCACAGCCCCATAACAGGCCAGCGAATCCATGAAACATACACTTAATGAATTTAATGTATTCTGGAGTTACTTTAGGTGGGGTCAGAGCATTTGGTCCCACTATATGGAAAACCTTGCTCACCTCTTCTTCTGTTAAACCATTATCAACATCAGTATTTAATTTATGACATAGTTGTTCCAAAGGAATCATATGATCTTCGGTTCTCAGTTCTTGGTGTAGATCTTCTATTTCACCTACAGTAAGCCTTTTCTTAGTGATTGGAGCAGAATTTGTATGTTTCATAATTTCAGCTGCTATTTGCATTGCATTTGAATCTATTCAAACAGATATGAATATGGCATCTTTAAAATTCAATTTTTTCTTTATGGCTAAAGTCAAGGCCTACTTGTTAGAAAATGCACTTACATGAGTTTGTATAACTATTTTTTTTTATAGGTTCTGAAAGGTTTGAGTTACTTACGAGACAAACACGCGATCATGCATCGAGACGTAAAGCCGAGTAACATTTTGGTAAACAGTGCAGGAGAGATAAAAATTTGTGATTTTGGTGTTTCTGGACAATTAATCGATTCTATGGCTAATTCTTTTGTTGGAACAAGAAGTTATATGTCTGTAAGCATTTAGCAAGATAAATATGATTATTAATTTAGAATATCTATTTTTTACATTTAGTTTATCTATGGATCTCTTTGTTTACAGCCAGAGAGGCTTCAGGGTACACATTATTCGGTACAAAGTGATATTTGGTCCTTAGGATTATCACTTGTAGAAATGGCCATTGGAATGTACCCAATTCCCCCACCAGATGAGAAAACTTTGGCTACAATATTTAGTACACCACCAGGTCAACCACCAGCAGATAATACTGCTACAAACAATGCCTCTACACCAACAACACAGTCACCTGGTCACAGTTAGTTTCTTTTTATTCATTTTCAATCTGTTTTGACAAAATATATTACTTTTATATATTTTAGATACAGGTAGTCCAAGACCAATGGCTATATTTGAATTATTGGATTATATCGTTAATGAACCACCTCCAAAATTGCCTGCTGGAATTTTCAGTGATGCTTTCACAGATTTTGTTGATCGCTGTTTGAAGAAAAATCCTGCTGAAAGAGCAGATTTAAAAACATTAATGGTATGATAATATTCTATTTAAATGAAACAAATGATAGTTTGTATTCCTTTAATTCTATTCTTTGATGCGTAGAATCATGAATGGATTAAGAAAGCTGAATCTGAAAATGTGGATATTGCTGGTTGGGTATGTCGCACAATGGATTTACAACCGACCACTCCAACCCGTTTAGCGAACGTACAATCCTGAATAAATGTCACTCTTACATACTTGACTACCTATATACGCGTTCAGTACTCTTAAGTGGATTTTAGGTTCTTTTTGTTTGATTCATGTAAACAGTGGCGTTTGTGAATTTTTTCTTTTATATTATAACAATCCATGGAATTGAAGTTTTCCGCGATTTTAAAAACAGACTAATTAAAATTTGTCATTAGTTATATTATTGCTCAATAATTCATTTCTTGTTTGAGCAACAGCATTTATTAAATAGAATTAAGATATGCTTTGACATGTGTATCACAAATTTATTCTCTTTTGAATAATCGAATTTAGCTATTTAAAGATGTAAGCTGTTAGTTTTTAATGGTATCTTTAAATGATTATTAAATTTAGGGCATTAAATTATTTTTATCTATGTATTATGGTCCGATTTTAAAATCGCGGTAATGATCACGTAAGACTTAATAAACATGATTGAGATATGATAACTTTTATAATGTACATAATATAATATGAAATACGGCAATCTACATTGACATATTTGCATGGAATACGTCACTGTGCTGAAATTTGATTTCATTTTACATGTGTTTTGTATCCTTATCTTATAATTTTGTTGAAAGTATGTAAGATAAACAATTATCCGTATAAGTTTAACATTATTGTACACTCATGGGCAAATTGTGTTCCCTATAATGATAACTAGGATCCATAAATAGGCATCGGATTTATAAGAACATAATTTGAGGAAGCAAGAGAAGTGTTGACTAGTGATCAAGTTACTAGTATAACATTTGTACCTGACATTTATAGAACACTGTACTATATTATCAACAAAAAGACTTTTGTTCTATCTTTGCTAAAATACCACGCTATTTTTTACTGAATAATCAGTCAGCGATCATGATTTAAAATAGTATTTCAACCGGTGGATACAGGTGTCTAAAATAACATATGTTTCATATAATTACAATAAAGTATCACTTATAATAATGCAATGCGAGTGTTATGTCATCACGAAATATTCTTTAATAATATTACAAACAGTACTTTATTGTAATTTGTGCAATTAATTCTGAAATACTATTTTATTAAACATCAATGCAAAACATTCATATAATAGAAAAATGTATTGTAAAATACTACATAAATGTTTGTTCTAAGTATTCTTTTTTAACGGCGTATGTTGAATTAATGTATCTTTGAAAATTCATTAATTATATTGCGTACATCGTGGATTAAAACAGTGATGGGCAACTATGCCCGCGAGCATATGTTGAGCGTCGATGGGTAGAGGCAGTATTTTGTAGGCGTTGTATTGTTTGGTTGTTAAGAGTAGGAAGATGTCTCTAGGTTTTTCTAGCCCCTTCTTAGGATTTTGCTAAGCTCTACTTAGATTTCAGAAGTTTGGAACTTAAGAATCTTGAAAGCATGAAAGTTGAAAATCTTAGAATTTTGAGACTTGGGGTCTTAGGACTTTAGGATTGTGAGCTCTTAGAGTCTTTGTAATTTTGGGATTTTGGAATGTTAGAGCTTTGCTAGATGTGTACGCCAATATCCATAAGTTCTTCTGCGGGCATTTGATCTGCCCATCACTGATCTAAAATATTATACTTCATAGGTGCAATTAACAAAATTTTTGATGCGCGTCCATGTGTTCACACAATAATGAATATGTACAATTGTATGTATTTGTATAGCTGTGCATTGAGTCTTTCTTGTGCAATTTTTGTGAACTGTATTTGAAAGATCAGCCGTTCGTTTGGCTACTTTCTTATTTACATATATTTCAGTAATTAAATATAATTAGAAGATGTTAATAATTTAATTATAAAAGCGAATAAGAAGGATAGGTATTAAGATTAAAATTTTATGAATCTTTATTCAGAAAAAAAATATTCAATCAAAATGTTATAAATACTATACAGACACTATTATACATTATAGTTATGACTATATAAATACTACACTAGACTATTATGGGATAGCGTAGTATTTACATGGCATTGACTATAATATAGTATAATATCTATATAGTATTATTATTATATAGTCCATATCGATAGATAGATCATAGACAGATGTGTAATATTGTACAATCTAATATACATAGTCGCTTATCATTGTAATATGCTGATAAAAAATGTCTATATGTACATAGTATAATAGTAGTATAAGCATTCATATTCAGTTGTACGCAAACGTCACACTGTTATTTTTCTTTTATAAAAAAAATATCACCGATAGAATTATTAATTGGAGATCATCAGAAAGATTCATTACACGTTATAACATGTAGACGTAGTAAATATTTCGTCAAATTATATCCATATTTGCTTAGTCACTACATTTTTATATAAGCGAATGCAAATATAATTGTTAGCCTTTTCCGATTTGGCTTAAAAAATATCGGAGTGTACTATGAGCGCATTGTGATGTTTGCAAGCACAGTGAGGACACTCACTAATGTGCCTACGCGTAAGACGCCCAAGAACTGACCTTTCGTATTATATGTATTTATGTCTGATGTATCATAAACAGACAGAAACAGTTTCAATAGTTAAGTTCTCTGTTAAGAAAAGAAAATGTAAGATACGATAAATAATATACAATTAAACAAATTTTATTCGCTAAGCAGTGAATCTCAACTGTGAAAGGGATAATTACTTCTGGCACTTATTAAAAATATGTCGATATTCCTTGTTGCGAATTTGTGCATAATAATTGCTGTTGTATTGATTCACTGTCTAAATGTTGTAACTATTTAACAAATAAATTTATCCCACATTATAAAACGCGTTTTGGTCTTGAATTATACCTACACACTTATAAAAATATAAAATACTTTTTCTTAGGTGCAATAGACCAGATATCATTGGCTAACAATAGTTTGAGAATCTTAGTATAATATAGGGTTTTTACAGTTTAAAAGAAACTACGTGTTTTATATTCTTTTATGAAATTTTTATGTTATACAGTTTATTGAGGTACAAATGGTGTACAAAATGAGTTACGCCTAGAAAGATTTACATTAACTACTTGCAAAAATGGGGATACTTTATCAAACATATTAAGATTTACAGAAGTTCCACCAACGAATATTTTTAAAATTGTATTGTTAGTTCGATTAATTGTAACTGTTGCAGCTTTGTTTAATGTTAAATTTGTGATACCACGGCACCCTGATAAATCTAGCAATTCTAACCGAGGTGCAGATCCAATAAGTTCTGTCATAGTTTTATCTGTAAATTTGCAGCCACGACATTCTAATCTTTTCAGATTACTCATATCTCGCAAATTCATGTCCGTTATTATTTGCAAATAATTCATTATTAATACTTCTAATTTTGGTAATGTTGCTATAGCTGCTACACCAACGTTTGTGACAAAAAAACATTCTGCAATATACAAAAAATAATGTACACATGAATTATTCTGAAGATGTATTGTACTTACCAGCAATATCTACATAAGTAAGACGTAAACATTTTAATGCCAAATTAGTAAGAAGTTCATCCATGACAACTATGTTCATACTGATTTTTAGAACTTCAAGATTACACAACTGTGTTATGTGTAACATATCATTGGACTGTATCAAAAATGATATACTAGAAAGCTCTAATGTTTTTAAATTTGTACAATGTGTACAAATAGCTTGAATGACATTGCCAGAAATGTCCACACATTTGTGAATTGTGAGAGATTTCAAATTTTGTAATTTTGCAATTGCCTGAAAAAAGTACGAAATCATTAATAGAAAAAATACATTAAAATATTTTTAAATTTACCTGTGATAGGAAATGTTCTTGAAGATAGGTACAGCTTTCCAAAACAATTTCTTCCATTGTTTCTGAAGGTAAATAAGCTAAACATCTTCCACATATTTTACCATAGACCACTTTGAAATAACGCAATTTCGGATTTACTTCAAATAATTTTTGCAAATCCATATCACAGATATGAGTGGTTGAACCAAGACTAAGTCTAGTGATATCATGACAGTTGTTTGTTAACGAGTTTATACCAGATGCAGAAACAGTGAGATCAGTTACATCAATTCTTTGTAAATTTGGACATAATTTCCCAACTATGGTCAGTGTACTTTGATTTAATTGACGAGGTATTTGTGACAAACTTATTTCATTTAAAAAACGACCACATCGTAATAATACTTTGCGAAGAGTTCCGGTATTAATTTCCCTTCGCTTTATACTGGGCAAGGAACCCCACATCAAATATGACAAATCCAGTCTTTTTACACTACGCCAAGATTCCTGACTCAATGCTCTCCATCTTTTACATACTGCAATTATTAGAAAATTTATTAATAATAATAATGCAACAAGTTAAATTATATTCTTACCTCTTTCTATTCTAATTCTATCTACAATTGGCAACTGAAGAAAGATATGCATTAAACAGTCATCATTTAAAGTTTGAATACAAATATCTGTAATATCATTTTGCACGTAATCTTGATTACATTGTTCATTTGATTGTTTCTTCTCAGTTTTATACTTATCTTTAGAATTATAATATTGATTTTCTATGTTATCTGGTTGATGCCACGAGTCAGCTGGTACAACTTTTAAATTTCTATTATGCAATCTTATTCCTTCCTCATATCTAGCTCTGCAAATTATTCCACACAATTGGCATTATAATCAACTTTGCGTTTATTCAAATTTAAGTTTACCTTATAGCCGCTTCTACACTGTTGAAAGTAAGAAATGCATAGTTACTTGATTTTCCCTGATTTCCTTGATTTCTTTGCAAGTAACAACTTTCAACATCCCCATATTCAGAAAATAATTTAATAAGATCTTTGTACGTAGTCTAAAATAACACATTGTATTGTTATTCAATGTGCGTTTATATTTAAAAATATACATATTTACAATATGTTATATTTAACATTGAAATATGTATACAAACTCTTTCTGCTAAATTGCTAATAAACAATTTTCTAATTGGCACACCATCTTCGGTTACAGGTAATAAATCCGCACACGCAAACGATGTATCTATAATATATGAGTAAATAACAAATAAATACAAATTTATTCTAAATTCTTATAAACTAACCAAACAATTTGACATTACCTTCAAGAAGTGAACAATGATGTAAATTATCAAAAAAATATTCTTCGATGTAATCATTCATCTTTATACTTAGATTTAGTATTTGTTGAATTTTTTATTTTTCGTTATGATTTTGGATCACCCTCTTGGAATAAATACCATGATTTACGAAAGTATATTATTGTAGTACTTTCGCACATATGAATGACTTACATGACGTCATACCATAACCCCTTTTCAATTTTCATTGAATGTCAATAAAAATAAATTTAAAAAGTTTGAGTGTAATATATAATTTTATCTTATGAATTACAATGAGGATTAAAGAAACTTTTATTTGATATAAAAATACAAGCGTTTTTTAAACAACATAATATGAATTGTCACACATACGAAATAAGTACAATATACAATATGTGCAAATTTTAAATATTAAAATTACATTTTAATAATAGTTTACTTCGGATAACACGCAACATTTCTTTGTTTCTTTTTATATCCTCATAAAATTTACTCCAACTACCATACATGAAATTTGCAATCTCTTCCAGCATATTTAAATGTCTTTCAGTTCCATCTAGTACATCTCTACAATAAAAATAAAAAATTGTAAATTCTTTTTCAATAATTTTTATAAAATACAACATTACAAATGTACCTGCACTGCGGTACAGTATTTAACTGAAGTATTTTTTGTAAATAGTACAGACAATAGTTTATACAAGTATTAAGTACATTAAGAACTTCTAAACTATTATACTCATATCTTTCCTTGAGTATACTAATTAAAAGATCTGTATGTATTATGACATCCAACATTTGACCTGAAAATAAAATTATTATATATTTTTCTTCAAAATTGTTTTGCATATTATACATACATTTTGATCATACAAACCTCTTCTAAAAAGTACATTTCTCTTTAAAGCCCAACAATCTAAGATTTTCTGATTATATTCATACAACACTGTTTTTCTGATACGTAAACATTCCTCTATTTGGAATAATGCTGTTAGTGATTCTCCTGAACTTATTGAATTTTGTGCTTTTTTATATAGCTGTTTGGCTTGTATTACTTTAGTTTTCTCATAATGTTGTGATGTGTCACCACAACTTATACAGAATACATTATGCTGCATTTGACACAGTGCACCATTACATTTTAAACACTTTTTGGCATTACAAGTTTCCTATAATAATTATATATTTTAAATAAGAACAAATCAGACTTTTCTTTAAATAATTTTGGAAATAATTAATTATTTACCACAAAATATTTTAGTTCTGGTACAGTACAAGCCTCACACTTACAACTAAAATAATACAATTCCAATAGTTTTTGTCTGGCTTTTGTTTTTTTGTACCTATAAGTTGCCACTAACGAACATTATACATAATAATTAGTTTTGTAAAGTGCTTAGAAAATAAAATTTCAACAAGATTGTTTAAATAAATTATATCATACCATAAGAATTAAAAATTTCTTCAGTTGGAAAAATATCTTCCACAGCTCTGACGATCAAATATTGATCCATATAACTGAAATAATAATAATAATAATAATAATAATAAGACGTTAAATTCAATATATTTATATATATATCTTGTATGTTAGAATTACATTTTAATAATATTAGGATTACATGAATGGTTCATCATACTGGCAGAAGGGTAAATTCCTGTAGCCACGATGTTTATTTGCACATCGTCTTCGATTACGTTTGAATGTATAATTCCTGCTGCATTAACTGTGAGTTGATGGATATATCGCAATAATAAAGAACTAACGTACAGATGTTTGCCAATTTTTGTCGATATATTAAAATTTGAGTTAAATGCATTATCAGAAAATTTACTAATTAAACAATTCTCAAGATTAGTTGTTTCAAAAAAATTAGTATATTCTGACAAATAAATAGTAAGCATCATAGCTGCCTATAAAGATTATAATTTTATGAACTAAACAAACCCTTTTATCTTATTTTACATATTATACTATTCCTTCATATACTTACAATTCCATTCACCCTTAAATCAGCATCAGGAATTTTATCAAAATGACTAACTAGATTTTGTAGTTGATTAAATCTGATCTTGTCTGACATAGTTGAACAATTAAATAGAACTTTTGATGCTAAATGTGTTATTCCTACTTGTCCCCAAAGACGCATTTGGCTTCCTGGACATTCCCAACAATGGTACAATGACCATGCCTCATTTAAGCATTTTTCACCACAATAGGTATATAAACATGTTTTACATCTAAAATTATATAACAATATGAATGTACAATCTAAAAAAATATTTAAGATAACACTAAATGCAGTATACTTACGGAATGGGAATATCCCCAATGAAACAATTGCAGTTATGACAACGATCACTTATTGATTCATTAGGTATTAGTACAATACTTATAGGCTTTTCCACAAAAAGGATTTCACCTTTATTGATAAATTTATTTGCTACAACGTGCCTTCCTACTTCTTCATTGTATTTTATATCTATGCTTGCAGATGCATTTGGAAAATTTTTATTTTCTTCAAATATAATTTGAGATTTTACTTTCGACAAATCACAAGTATATTGTTCTTCAGATTGAATGGTTGAGTCAGAAAATGTTATTTCAGAAATATTTTTGTCAATACTTTCTATAAATAAAATAGTTTTAAAAAATATTAAAAACATATAAATTCATTAATCTGGTGAGTAATATACCTTTCATTGCAGGCGTAATTTCATAGGTAGGATCATGAACCATTTTTTGTATTTTAAGAACTGTTTCTTTTGCCAATTGCTTTTTGCCCAATTTCAAGTAACAATGTAATTCACGTAAATATATTTTATGACATAACTGTTTAGGATAATTTAACGAAACTGCTAATGCAATATCCTTTATACAATCCTTTTTGTACCATATCATATTTTACATATATAAAATCAAAATAAAAAATAAATTTCAATATAATAATAGCATGTATTACTATAGATGGCAGCAAGATAAAAACAACCATTTTTAATATAATATTTTAAGTAGTGAATTTCTAATTTTTGAAATATTCAGTTATACAATTTCTTTTGTACCCTGATTAGTTCTGATGAATTAAATTGTCTGTATTTAAAGTTTATATATTTAAGAAAGTAAAGTAAATATAATTTTATATTTATATATAAAGAAAAATTTGACAAAATTGTAGTCCATTTATACTGTGCTGTCACTGCTACTATTCTAGTAGTATTTTTACTTACATTATACCTATTTAGATAAAATAAAGAAGCAGATCTGTTTGCAAAGGCAATTGACAAATTAGGACTATCTGCAGGAGCATATAGTGCACTTTTTGTATACATTTGTATACTTTCATTATATTGTTTCATTTGAAAGTGTTTATTTCCGTTTTTCTTAAATTCTTCTGCTTTTTCAATACTCTTAACATCTCTTTCGCTATTAAGTTTTTCCAACCATGAGCATAAAATTTTTCTAAACATATAAACATATATAATTTTTTATGGTGAAATGTGATAATAAAGAATAAACGATAAATAATTGAGTAGAAATAACAAATAATTACGTACTTTATGCTTTCATCACCCAATAGTTGTATCATCAATTCATCTTCGCGTTTTATTTTATTTTCTTGTGACTTATTGTCTATTTTTCCGAGCAATCTAAGAACTCTTAATACTCCTTGCCACTCCATTTTGCTTTATATAATATTATTCTTTTAATTCATGTACATTTGTTCAGCATATATAGGAATTTGTTACGCACTGGTCTGTCACTTTCGACCCTTTTGATTAGTCGCTGCAGAATATCGTTATAGAAACTATGCGATATGACAATCCATTTGCTTCGTGGATAAGAATTCAAAACAGTGGATAATATTATGTAAAGCAGAGGGATCATTTGACCTAAGGATTGTGTCGTGTTTCCTATATTGGACAAAGAGGTCGTGTCCCTACTCTTTGGTATATCATATATCGTATGTCGTGTGCAGACTATTGAATATGACCTGCAAATTGTATACTAATAGAAAAGGATCGTCGCAAATGGGTCTAACAACAGTCGCTTGATTGTTTCCTTGATTATATATGTGTATTTGTATAACTACGTCTGTTGATTGAGGCGCTCCGCGCCTAACCTAACAATGATGAGCGAGCGAGTAAATTTCACGCTAAAGTAAACATAGTCAACCGTCTTATCCGGTTGAATTGGTTGAGTGGTGCAAGAGAAAAACGTGGACAAAAAAGTTGAAAAGTCAAGTACATAAGCACGAGCAAATTGAATTTTGCATTAAAGTCTACGGGGATATGGTTTTTCGGTAATTATTCCTCCGTGGCATGCGCGCCCGGCGCGCAGGAGGAATATGCACGATAATGAGTATGCAAAATCATTAATTACTCACTTTCTGAGCACAGCCTGTGAACTTTTATGATTAAAGAATGGTCAGCAATGCATTATTTACATGGTTCGATGATAAAAGTTCATAAATAATGTTCGGGTAATGAGTAATTAATTATTTTGTGTCAGCATTGTGATACGTACATGAATAAAAAATGGAGGTCCGAATACGCATATAAGGAAAATAAAAAAATGAATATTTCGGCACTTTGACGACGTAGTATGGTTTCTGAGGCATTTAGAAACAAATTTCTATTAGGGTTTGATGCATTTCGATGCCTAATAAAGCCAGAAAATCAATTTTTGTCGAATTCGGCCCAAAACGGTACAGATGGCGCCATCTAGCGGCGAGCGGCGGAACTACGAAAAACTAAAATTTCGATTTTCTCCGAAATTAGGCAATTTTACGTGTTTCTGAGGGTCAGAAGTTGTTCTGTGGTCGCTTTAGAACCTATATATTGCCACGAGAACCACCCCAGAGCGCTAGAAAAGAAAATAAAAAAATAGGTGAAAACATGGACTAAAAAATTGGCGTCCATCTAGCGGTGAAAATTGGAACTACAAAAATATAAAAATGCGATTTTCTCGAAAAGTAGCGAACTTCGAGTACTTCTGAGGCTCAGAAAGTGTTATATGATCGCATTAGAAGGAAAATAATGCAATAAAAATTTCCTGAAAGCTTTAATAAAGAAAATAAAAAAAATGTCATTTTATGGAGAAAATTTGTGGCGCCATCTAGTGTCGAAACTGCAAACTAAACCGATAAAACGTATGTCCGAACACGCGTTAAGGAAAAACATAAAAAGTAATATTTCGCAACTTTGACGACGTAGTATGCTTCTTTAGACATTTTAAAGCAATTTTTGTTGAATAAGTTATTTATTTTTTTGCCTACTAAACCCAGAAAATCAATTTTTATTTGACCCCTAACGCATGTTCGGGTACACGGTTTTCCAGTTTAGTTCGCAGTTTCACCGCTAGATGGCACCACAAATTTTCTCCATAAAATGACATTTTTTTTATTTTCTTTATTAAAGCTTTCAGGAAATTTTTATTGCATTATTTTCCTTCTAATGCGATCATATAACACTTTCTGAGCCTCAGAAGTACTCGAAGTTCGCTACTTTTCGAGAAAATCGCATTTTTATATTTTTGTAGTTCCAATTTTCACCGCTAGATGGACGCCAATTTTTTAGTCCATGTTTTCACCTATTTTTTTATTTTCTTTTCTAGCGCTCTGGGGTGGTTCTCGTGGCAATATATAGGTTCTAGAGCGACCACAGAACAATTTCTGACCCTCAGAAACACGTAAAATTGCCTAATTTAGAAGAAAATCGAAATTTTAGTTTTTCGTAGTTCCGCCGCTCACCGCTAGATGGCGCCACCTGTACCGTTTT